TCATTTCTGCACAAATGGTATCAGAGGGGCGTCGAATTCAAACCATGTGCAGATATCCGAAACCATTTTTTCATGAACAGTGCCTTTAAGCAACCTGCTGATCAATAGGACGACAGATGATGGAGGTGATTGGTTATGGTTCAGGGGAGATCTTTTCTTTGAGGTAACAGGAACATGAGATCTTTCAAGATCGTCTTGTCTTCTCCTTTGCTGTCGTCTGTTAAGCGATTCCGATTCACTTGGAATAGGTTAACTAATGAGGACCCAAGCGGAATGTTCTGAATACCCCTATCCTTTTTGAGAAAGAGTATAACTACAATTTGAATGTGCTTCAGTATGAAAAGAAATCTTGAAGGTAGAAATGCAAAATTCCTGATACATAAAAAGAAATCTCTTACATATATAGCTGGAGCAGACAGCTCGATTGAAGCGAAATGGCTTGGTCATGTCATGTTGGATTGTCGGAAAAGCTCCATGTCCTCCTGAATACAGTATCTTACAGTACCGTATCTCCATCATCACTGTAGGAACAGCGCACAAAAAATACCATAAGCAAATGCTATTGTGCCGTAGGCGAGGAAAAGATTGGTGAACGAAAATTCGGGATAGGTGACAGCCTGAAATTTTAGCAGGTCATGCAAGTCAGCTAATATTCTGCAGCATACAAAACTATCACCTTTTGACAAACTGGAGCATCGTGGATGGCTCCTGCGACAATAAGTATTGCTGCTACGGTACTGGATACAGCAGAACCGACAGCAGCTTGCCTGGAGGAGATTCGTTAAGGAATGAGGGGAAGGAGCGAACTTAAACGCTCACCAGAAATCCATTGGGCTTTTCAGCATCACGAATGGCCACAGTACAACTGCTATCAGAACAATTACGTAGCAGAAATTGATTGGAAATCCTACAGCGGCCAACAGATTTGACAGATTGTTGGCAGCAAGAAGTGTGAGCACGGTGGCGATACCAAATTGGGTCAGGCACAAGCAAAACGACACTAACCTCCTGAAGCGAGAACAATAGAATACGAAGTTAGTCATTACATTGTGAAAAAACCCATTAGGTATATTTTCAGAATATGAGTATTGATGCAAAAGCCCTTCGGAGATTTTGCCTATCCTTGATCAAAACGACTGATTTGATAATTGAAGGTTCCGTATTTAGTGGTAACTTTGCTCTAGAAGAAAACAGTCTCTTACTTTGCTCTCGTGCCCATAGCTCTGTAGGCCATTTCAGGATACGGTCGTCGGCAGTGACTCTTGTATTCTGGCCAGCGCTTCTGTAAAACCTTTTTGAACGCGAACTATTGTACATTTTCCTAACTAACAAGCCTCGAACCTGCATGAGTGTCCAATTGTCTCCTAGCTGCACACCTGTGTATCCAGTGAAAATGGCTCCGAGGATGATGATTGTGATACCGGGAATCAACCCTTAATGGTCTGGACTTTGTAGAGCCTTTTCTCATCAACGAGAAAAGTTCATGGCTCGCCGAATGCAAGCTAGTTGTGTTCAGTGGTTCATGTGCTCAATACAGACTAGCTACTTCTAACCCAAAGCAGTGTCGAAGCCATAGTTCTCTCATTTACCTTCAACAGCACATGAGGTCTTTTTTAGCCAACTATTTCTGAGATTCGACGAGACTATGGCGAGAAAGGGTGTGCTCGAAAGGGATTTTATAGTTGCTGCACGGATTAGTCTACTACATTTGCAACAAACGTGCTCCATTTTGGATGACATTGCCTCTGAAGTCGTACTTTCTTGAAACTTACTAGTGAGCGGCACTAAGCGTCAGGTCTAGTATTTGAACCCTTACTGCACCCAGTCTAGGCCGCTTTAAAACCCAACAATACATCATGTAGTCTCATCTCAGAAGCCATAAGATGCTTTTAGTAGAGACTTTCTGACATCGTTTTTATCACGAACTGCCCCTTCAAGCAACTGCTACATCGCTCTACGCGGCCCTACTTCATTCTACTTCCGCTTTCAACTAGAGAAAACCCTGATACTAACCAAAAAGAGATGACCGGAACCATATCTCTTTTTACTGAACAATCCTAAAACATAACAAAGACATTCTTTATGCTCTGGTCAATCCCGCTGGTGGGAAGCCTCCACGCATTTGGTTTCCTTTGATGAAGAAGTTCTTATAAGTAATTTCTTAATCTCCAGATTACCACTTTGTTATTGTTGATAGCTGAGTTACTTATATTCGTATTTCTGCAACTCAGCTTTTTGTTAAAGGCACGGTTCACGAAAATTTTGGGTAATCCAGGTTATGACGAAAAATGGAAGACAAGATGGAAAAGAGTGCGACGAAGGCGAAGAAACTGCGTGAATCTGTGTTTCCAAATTGAAAATTCGTTAAAAAGGGGCTGGACGAGAATGAGTAGAGTGGGACGTTTGGACGTGCTATACAATGTGTGTCCTTGCGTAGGTGTGGGTCATGGTGCGAATAGCTGACTACGGTAACCAAAAATTCATTTACTCATAAGCATAAGTTAACAAAAAACTCTAGTAACAGCAAAATTAGCCCACTTCTTCAGTCTCTTGAGGTAGAAAATTAGAATAAGGATCGCAGCAGCAAAAAGAATAACAGGAAGTCAAAGAATAGGAGAAAGTCATCGCCTCGCTACTTGGCCATCAGCTGGGTCCGGGCGATCTCGTAACGGGGCTCCCATTATTCCCTAGCTGTTCAGGTTTGGGACTTGGCAGCGTTCTTCCTGTTATCTCTGGGGGACACTGTGTATTTCTAGTGGGAGATTCCAGAAGTCATTTTTATCGTGAACTGTGCCTTTAAGCTTTACATGGCGGAAAATATTAACTAATCTGATGGGGTTCACACCAATCCCCACTCTGAGAAACTGTGGATGTGAATTAATGTGATAGCACATGAGCCCATCGCAACATAATGCTGTAAGAGGTGATTTCACAGAAAAAGTTAGAGTTTTCTGTGTGCGTCCTATTTGAGGTTGAAGCTCTTGGTGCTCGAAGTGGCGTGGTTTTCTATCTTCCTAATCAGTCTACCAAAGAATACACTTCGAACGTACCGGCGTTTACTACCGCTAACGGCAGAGCAATCATTCCTCCACCCATCATATCGCCAACTATGAAGATTGCTGCCGTCGGCCATGAGATTCCCTTATGGTTACGGTGTTTCTCCGGTTTAGTGGGCTTCTAAAACAGAATATCTTGTATGTTTAATTGATGCACAACTGTTTTGGAACTTTATTCAATTGTTCTTATCCAAGCGAGAGCGCCATTCAATCCGGCAATTATGAGACAACTGTTGCAGTAGGAGATAAAACCCAGGACAGTGGATTAGTATATGTAGTTATGGAGGTGAAAATTATATCTATGTAATCACTAAATAATTATATGTGGATGCATGAGTCATTGCTGGCTGATACTGCTTTGAGGACACTAAAATTAGAGGTCGCTAGTAGAAAAGCGAATTCGGCTTTTCGTCTACCTGAACTAACTGTAGAACAGTATGGTTGAAGCTCGGCTATTAAATCGCATCTGAATGGCTTTGAAGGTAATTTTTTTCTGCTCAAAGCCATCAGTACTTCGGGGGCTTTAATTACTTAAAAGCACAGTTCACAATAAAAACTTTTCTGAGATTTCCCATAGGATTAATTTGAGGCTCCCTTGTATATCATAACTGGCGCTAACAGGTCGGAAATGGCCTAGTTAGAGACCTACAAAGGTTCAAAGATTGGCCCGTGTGTATCCT